TAAATAATTCCAGCCATTTAGGAAATCAGATAACGGTTTGGGCGTGGGCGGCGGGGTTACTTTGAAGTTCGAAGTAAGTTATATCATAGAAAGTTACATTTCAGACATCCCACCTTCCGCATAATCAGGGAGGTGGGGGCTGGCCGTTTCCAGGTCACTGCACGTCATTCACGAGTATCAGGGAGCTTCTGTCAATTTCGGGAGATTCTTGGACCTTCCAGGGGAGGTAGTATGTCTGACATTTAACCATCTAAGGAGTGACTACAGAAGGATTCTGCTGCCAACCAACCAAGTGCCGTTTTTTGTTCTCACCCTTCGTCTAAATTACTCACCTCGGGTGAGTGGCCGGGCTTAATTTCCAGCTGTGCTCACAATGCCACACTATTTTTTTTTGCACCACATTTCAAAATTCCAGCTCTTGATGAACCAGTCAGACCTAAGGCACACTTTCAGGCTCGGCAGGGTTAAAGCTCATCTAAAGTAATATAGTTGAAAATAAAGAAATACAGCCATAAAGAGAGGCACGAGGTTTTATTACAGTATTAAATAGTCACATTTCAAATTAAAACATCAACTGGAGTGTAAAAAAAAAAAACACATTCATACACAACACAGATGCAGTCAGGACACTCCTGTATGACTGAATTCTCCCCAAAAATTGACATTTTTTGATGGGGGTTACAGTTTGAACAGTGCAAAATCATCCGAGATTTACAAAACAGATTTATGGTATGGAAGGCACCTGTTATATGGAAACTACATTTTTGAAAACCCAAATTAAAATATATGTATATATATGTCCCTTATAAAGTGGCAGGGAGCGTCACTCTGAGGACGTATGGCTTATCACCTTCACCAGCAAAAAGACTCGCCTTCACAATGTGACAAAATTAAACAGAACATTAAAAAGAGACTGCATTGCAGCTACGTCACAGTAAAAATATGTACAACTGTAAAAAGGAAGGAAGGACCTTAAAAACAGGAAAAGAATAGTGGGGGAGGGAGAAATGCAGTCCTGCTCTCTTTTTGAAGCAGTGCTTCCCTTTTGGGACTTTTTGGGGTCGGGGGCCCTGTAACTGCTCTCCATTTGTGGCTGGGGTGAAGTCCTCAGGGGGACAGAGGCTGCGATGATGACCAGCTGTCAGAGTCTGCGGATGAACATCAGCTGCTATGAAGTGCCAGGCTTGAAGCCTGGATCTAGACTTCAAACGATGGCGGCAGGCTGAGTCACATGTTCTGCCCCGCTCCCCGCCCGGGTCATCTACACCCCAGTCTTCTCCTTGATCCAACCACGGAATTGGGTGACCCGCGTGTAGATGCCAGGCCTGTTCTTGCGAGCACAACCATCTCCCCAGCTCACCACTCCTGGCAGGAAGTAGCGCCTTCCAATGTCCAGGCTGGCCAGGGGGCCGCCAGAGTCGCCCTGCGGGGTGGGGGGGAGACAGAGGCGGTGAGGTAATTATGAGCAAGCCCAACCCAGCAAAGGAGACACGAGCTGTCAGTGTACCTGACATGCATCCACGCCCCCTGACAGCACGCCGGCACACAGCATGCGTGACGTGATCTGGTTGCTCATCAGCTGGTTGCACACGGTGCTGTTGATAATCCGCACCTCAGCCTTCTGGAGCACCTGAGCTAATTTTCCTGGTGAGTGGACAGACACACACAAACACCATCTCAACAAGAAGACCCTGGGCATCAACGCTGGGACACCAGCCCAGTTTCAGCAAATCCACTACCTATGCGAGCGATCTTGCCTCTCGTTCTACAAAGAGCCAGTCTCACCAGGTCACAGTGAGCAACAGACTCTGCTGTTATCTTGCTTTAGACAAGCGTTTCTCAATCCAGTCCTCGGGGAGCAACAGACAATCCACGTTTTAGCAAAAAAGTGAACTGTCTGGGCGGGAGCAAAAACGTGGACTGAGTGGGCGGGAGCAAAAATGTGGACTGAGTGGGCGGGAGTAAAAACGTGGACTGACTGTGGATCCCTGAGGACTGAATGGGGAAACACTGCTTTAGACAGAAAAAGAATTCTCTTATATCCCTCATCGATGCACATCAAAGGGGGCAACTGGGGCTCACCGTCCTCCTGCGTTTTGCCCCAGCCGGTGATCCAGACGGACTTCCCCACTGGGAAGTCATGGGCAGGGTTGGGCAGGCAGATGGGCATTATGTACTGGCTGAAGGTCACAGGACTGTCCAGCTGCATCAGTGCAATGTCGAAGTCATAGGTGTATTCGTTGTAGTTGGGGTGCTGGATGACACTCTTCAGATACTTCTTCACCACCCTCTCGATGTTTTTTGCATTCTGATCATGCAGGCCAAGGTACACTTCCCACGTACCCGGCTGAGAAAGCCTGTGTGACGGACACTCATGCAGTTAAGCGAAGGGGGGGCTCCCCGCACACCACACCTCGACCCTGAAAACGGGCCGGACCAGGGGCTTACCGCATAGAGTCTTGGTCCTGAACGCAGTGTGCGGCCGTGACCAGCCAGGTGTCGCTGATTAGTGACGCGCCGCAGACGTGCCCCTGATTTTTGATGTGCAGGCTCACCTGCCACGGCCACTCCCCTTCCAGGGAGTTCTGGCCCCCCACGATGCGGGACGTCCTGAAGAGCTGCCTGCCGCAGTCTGGAGGGCAGAGAACGCGGCAGATATGTGGGCCGGGCCTGGTACTGCTGTGGGTGCCACCATGACAAAGTGCCATGCCACTACAGGACTGGAGTCAACCATGGATGCGCATCACACATGTGCCAGCGAAGAAAGCCGAATACAAAAGCAACTAAAAACGAATGAATACTACCTAAAAAAATACAGTCAGTCCTCGTGCGTTCGCGCTTCGTAAATTCACAGATCTGCAAAAATTTCATTGGAACCGAACTTATTTGCATCCGCGATTTTTTCGCACATCTGCGTTCCTTTTTATGTACATACTGTACTGTACCTTTACAAGATGTGAATCCCATTCGCAAAGTTTATTCCCTCTGGAACTGTCATGACATGATCGTCCGATGCCACGCCCCCTCATCTACCTCATGTGGAATCCCTGTGTGATCAGCGCTGTTGTTTCGAGTTGCTGTCATTAGTCCTGTGTATTTACGTCTGTGTTTAAGTATGTTTCCCGTCATTAATGCCATTTTGAGTTTGCTGCCTGTTCCGTTGTCCTGCTTGTCTTTACCTTTTGATTAAACCCCGTGTTCCCAGATTTCTTGAGTCCTGTCCCTGCTTCCCCGGTCCGTGCCCCGGCAATACGTGACAGGAATGCTAATGGTTACATAAATATTAGAAAATAGTTCATTTACTATTTTGTAATAGTAAGTACACGTTAACGTAAATTCAACGCACAAAAATGATAAATTTCTTGAAAGGTGCTAATGTTTACGTACATAGCAAATGTGTCCTGGGTTTCCATCTCAAGACGCATTTGCTATAAACACTGAAAGGGTTGGTTTTTAACGGTAATGTATTAAGCTAACTTTTAAATGAAACTAAAGTGTTTTGGGAGTTATTTAGGGTTTAAACTATAGAAATAAGCACATATTTTTAGTGACTCTACCAAACATCCGCGAATCCTCCTCATTCGCGACAGGTTCTGGAACCTAACCTTGCGAATGTCCGAGGGCTTACTGGGCCAATGCAGCCAAAGGTAATTAGCCATTTTATGATAATCTGTGCCAATACATGAGACAAGCTTTCACTGTCTATAAGGGCACGGGTTTGGCAAGTGGTCTAAAGTCCTTTATTACTTGAAAAGTTTGATACTTCAATAGTTTATCACGGTTGACTCAGATTAGGAGCGCATGCATGACTCAAATCCACGGTTGACTCAGATCCTGTTGTGACATGCCCTGTTTGTGGGCTCGGCCTACACTATGGCTGTCTGAAATGCATTCTGGGATCCGAAGTCTCTCTTACCGCAGTTGGCCTCATCCGAGCCATCCTCACAGTCTGGAGTACCGTCACACTCTGCGTTCGCCTTGTTGATGCATTTCTGGTCTGCACACTGGTAGGTAAGGCTTGTGCATGGTACCACAGAGACTGGAGGGGGCAAGGCGGAGTCAAAGTCAGCTCGCCTGGAGGCCACCAGGCAATTCTGATGTCCGCCTGGGCACCCCCACTCACCGCTGGCACAGTTTTGCTCGTCAGACCCATCGCCACAGTTATCCTGCCCGTCACATTTCATCTTCTCCGAGATGCATTTCCCATTCTGGCAGCTCACCTCCCCGCTCTGACACGTTCCTGTAGGAAGAGGACCGGCTACAACCTCACAAACCACTACCATAATGACTGGAGGTACCCCCACCCACAGACCAGCGATGAAGGTCCTACCGCAACCCATCTCGTCAGTGCCATCGCCACAGTCATCCACGCCATCACACTTCCAGATTGGGGACTTGCAAAAGCCGTTCTTGCAGCTGATCTGAGTCGCGTTACATACTGCCAATGGGAAAACACATGCGTAAGAGGAAAAGGTAGATACTCATGATCTATACCAAGTCAGATCACTGAGCATGTTAAAGCACTGACTGATTGAACATGAGGTTCACACTCAGATACGAAAGTCTCCAAAACACACGTGGTAGTGAGCAGTACAGAATCCCCCAGCAGTTAACGCCGGAACCCGACCCAAACTCACTGCAGTTCATCTCATCGCTGTTGTCCCCGCAGTCGTTCCAGCCATTGCATTTCAGCTGCGGCTTGATGCACCGATAGTTCTTGCAGCGGAAAGTGTCAGGACAGGCTATGTGGGAGAGGCAAGATGGGGGAATCGATTCAGGGAAGACAGGCGGCCGCAGAGAGAGATGCTCAGCATACGGCTTTGAGACGTGCTCCGCTTACGGTTGGTGGGTTCGAAGGCCTCGAATTCAGCAAGGAACCCTCGGTCCACAAGAGACTTGTCAGAATGGAACAACACCTTCATCTTGTTGCTCTTGTTAATGACCACAAACACGTCCTTCTTTTCGCCACAGTACCTAAGGCCAGCAGAAACAGTGACGGTCTTGGCGTCAGAGCAGGAGCTTGGGAAGGACTACATGCGCCACAGAGCAGAGGATATTCACCGCCGAAGGGAGCATAAGGCTGCACATGGAAAGCTGGGATACAACCAGCATGCTCGGACTTACTTCTGCCCATCGATCGTTACGTAGTCCTTCTGACAACTAGAGCCAGTGTAACCAAGGTCTGACAGGAGGAACTTCAGAAACCTCACTTTGACATATTTACCAGTAGGCACCTGGAAGGGGGGAGGGACACAGCTGGGTGTTTACGCGTTGAGATCCCTGCATTTCTGCTCTAGATAGACCCATTAGAAGGACTTGCCCACTTTACATAATTTAAGAACGTTTGTTTTTTCTAATGAAAGTGTTCCAATATAGATACAATGTGCGTGGACAGATGGCATTTATTCCATTAAAATGGAGGCAGACAGTAATCATAGCATGTAAACAGAGGATCCCCCCCTCCCACCATTGGGGCAGCCCCCAACCTCAATGTTCCATAGGCAATCAACAGAAGGTGGATAATAGGAAGGGTACTCTGGACTGCTGAAGTTTCCATTGGAACCACGGAGATCGGCATCACACTCTGGGAGATAAAAGGAATTATATTCATGACATCACAAAATATTTGGGGGGGGGGGGGGGGGGGGGGTGTCGGGCCACCACGTGGACTGTACCTCGTGTGGATGCGGGGACTTGGCTGAAGTAAGCCTTGAACCCAGGGTAGCTGTGCTCGTCATTGGTGACCAGCGTGAGCAGCATGACGTTTCCGGACGAGAAGAAGATTACGGGCTCTGTGGGGGCATAGTGTCCACACTTCCTGTCATGCAGGAGAGAAGCCACGTTACCAACCGTCTGACAAAGCACGACAACAATGGTGGAATCAGTTACATTATTCACCCCAACCATTCTTCAGTGAGGCGTCGTTAGGGGGAAAGAAGCCGAATGCCTATCACTCAAACACAGTGATGAGTGTGGCTGTTCCCCAAGGAGGATTTAATGGTACATGCTCAGTATATCATTTCTACAAGGCTATGCATAATGAAACAAATTGACACATTTGACACGGGCGGAACATAAATTCACAAATAGATGTTCAATATGAAAAACCTTACGGTTATGCTGGCTACAGTCTTTTGGTTCTGTTATATTGAACTCAGACATGGTGATGGGGAAACACCCGACATTCTCTCTCATTCGAGGCGACACCATCCAAGCGTTTGTGCAACCGGAGAAAGGCAAAAATAACCTCTGCAAGAGTCTCTCCGTGGCATTTAAGCAAATTCAGCTACAGATAGGTCACCATACTTGGTAGTAGACTACAGTGAATTTGGCATTGAATTAACAACTTAGATGATGATGCATTTTCCATTGTTTTTATTTATGTTTTGTATTTCTTTACCACGTGCTAATAAGCATTTCTCGTTAACATTGAAACATTGCCTTTGTTTCACAGCCTGAACCCGGGTTCGCCCTAGAAACAGCATTGCCACCTGATTCAAACACCACGACTTAAGAAGTAGACACACTGAGATACCACACACTGCCACCAAATGGACCCAAAGCATGCGGTTTATTTATTTTTGCAACTCTGAAGCGATTTCTTCACATACGGCGAGGATTAAAGTGTTATAGCCTCTTGCATGATTAAGCAAAAACATGTAGAGAAACTCGTTTTGCCGTTCACAGTGCTGTCACACAAGATCCTGACGTCACTCACTCGGCTAACAGGCAGCTCTCGTCCTCCACGAGCGAGTCGTACACCCTGACGAAGTCGCTGCTACAGTCGTCGTCCAACATGAAGGTGTCGAATTTCAGCTTAATCACGTTACCCCGGGCGGCTCGTAGCTGCCACAGGATGATGGCGTTGGAGGGGTAGGTCGAGTTGAGGAAACCGGGCGACGTTATCTCTTGGGGTGTGTCGCCCTTGGCGTGAAGAGTGAATTTCTGTTTGGCTGTGGAGGGGGGCACAGTCACAAGTCTGGAGGGGTGAAACCAAGCCCCAAATACAGGGAATGAAGGTACCCCCCCCAAAAAAAAATAAACACAGCCCAGACGGGAGTCTTACAGGTGAGCTTTTTCTGGAACATTCTGGAGTCCACAGCTGTAAAACAGACAGCAGGTCTCGGTAAGGAATAATGGGGGGGGGGTGTCTGTCTATGTGTATTCCAGCTGCCCCGAGGCTGAATAAGGCTTCTCTGGTTTAAGTATGTCACTATTTGCATGTGGTCTGCGTTCACAGAAACACAAGCAGGAGACAAGGGCGCACTGTGGGGCTGTACCAGACAACGTCAGCTCATCGAAGCTCAGCGACTGGGCGTCATTGGCCATGCGGCTCCGTATCTTGCTGATGGTACTTATGGCGCTGTCCACGGTGGCCTCCTGACTCGCTGGTACGTTGAACTCGGACAGATAGTAGGCGATGACGCTGCCTTCACTGCGAGGGTGTCAAGGGGAAGGGTCACTCACAAACACGCCCCCTTGAGGTCAGGACTCGCTGCGCCAAGCAGTTCATACACAAGATTCCTGCCATCCACCTGTTCAAATTTTCGGATTGAACCATCGCGTAAATCCCAGGAGGACGTACCTGAAACCTTCCACGGATGTTCCTACATAGTGCTTGGATAAATCTGCCGAATTCTGATACATCGACGCCAGCTGAAAGGTGACAGAAAATGAACAATATCTTTACAAACAGTAGACGGACGTGATAATTTACATTTTAACGTGGCTGATTTGGCAGATTAAATTCAATTCAATTTTAATTGTATAGCACATTTTCACAACAGTACAAGAGCTTTACATTATCCCTGTCCAAAGCCAAAGGTGACAGAGGTAAGGAAAAACTCCATAGAAAGAAGAAACCTTGGAAGGAACCAGACTCAAAGGGGGAACCTATCCTCCAGGGGGCAGCAGAGGGAGCCCTACCCCTAACCAGACTCAAAGGGGGAACCTATCCTCCAGGGGGCAGCAGAGGGAGCCCTACCCCTAACCAGACCCAAAGGGGGAGCCCATCCTCCAGGGGGCAGCAGAGGAAGCCCTAACCCTAACCAGACCCAAAGGGGGAGCCCATCCTCCAGGGGGCA